ACGACGACAACACCGTGCACCGAAATGATCGCGGCAGCGTCATTTGCATTCGTGGAACTTTTAAAATATTAATATAAGTTCGTTATTACCGTGACGATGCTAACTCGAGATTATTAGAGAACGCGGCAAATCGTGGAAGTTCGAAAATGGCATGTTTTAACGTCGCTAGTAGTTGCATTAAAAGTTTCATGGCCCATGAAATGTTATTATTAAGCAATAAGCGGCCTGTAGGCGAATAAAACAGGATTCGCGTCGTCGATCTCGTCGCCGAAATATTTTCAATTCGAATTCGAACGCTTCAAATCTCAAAATAAGCGATCCGTGTAGCGTGGATACGGTTAAAATTTCATTGTCTTCTTATGTTTCTTTGGAAATCGTTGCTAAAACTGCATAAAATCTTCGGTCCAGTTGCAATTATATTTAGCAATCATTGTACCAAGAATTTCGTAGGAACGTTTCAAGAATCGCAAATCAAATAAAGACTAATTAAGCGACGAGAATATTGAAATGAAGAATAATGAAACGAGGACTAATTAAATGATGAATATTTAAATGAAGAATAATGAAACAGAGACAAACTGAGCGAAGAATATTTAAACGAAGAATAATGAAACGAAGAATAACTAGACGAGGGACAATTAAACCGAGAATATAATCGAATGAAGTATAATCGAATGAAGAATATAATCGAATGAAGGTTAATCAAATAATTGAATGCGGAATTATCAAGTGACGACAAATTAAACGAAGACTGATTAAATGAAGAATCATTAAATGAAGAATAAATGAAGAAAACTCGTTGCAAGAAGTATAATTAAATGAAGTCTATTTAATTAACGGAAAATTCAACGACGAGTTATATAACGAAACAACAACGGATTCTCTCGAGTTGCGTGAACAAAATCGTATAAGCTTTACATCATTTCTACTCGGTTTTTCATCTTATCTCTGCCGGAGGGGATCTCTCGCAGCGCCGTTCTTCGCGATTTAGCAAAAAACAGGGTCCGAATGGGGGAACGCGCATAAACACCCATGGTCTAATGAATATTATTTCGCGCCGACATTTTTGCAGCAATCGCCGGACGTGAATGGGGAAAGTTCGGTCTTCCTTGAACATCCGAAGGGGGTTCTCTCTATCTTTCTCTCTTTTTTTCTCTCTCTATCTCTTTCTCCCTCTCTTTCTCTCTCTCTCTCTCTATATATATATATTTATATTTATATTTATATTTATAAATATAATATAATATACTCTATATATTTATATTTATATATATATATATATATATATATATATATATATATATATCTTTCTCTCTTTATCTTTCTCTCTCACTCTTTTTATTCACCCTCTCTTTTTTCTCTTCCTCTCTTTCTTTCTCCCTCTCTCTCTCTCTCTCTCTCTCTCTCTCTCTCTGCCGTCTCTTGCATCCAGCATCGCGAAACCCGTAGCGAAATAAAGAGGCCCGAACGCCGGAAACATTTAAACAGTTTCCCCACGGCTTTTCAGTCGCGAACACGGGGTTTTTTCTTCACCCCCCCCCAGCGCGCTCCGCGTTTCTATTAATTCGAGCCGCCCCATTTATTCGACTTCCGGCTGCTCGCGGTCCCTTCATATCTTCGCCGCGCGCCGGGGAGCAGCCCCGATGGTGTTCCGTAACAAAGTCAAAAAACTAATTAACCAACAAGATACGAGATAAGTTCGAGCCGGTCCCGCGGATGGAAATTTCGCTGGAACTTCCGCTCGCTGCGAGTTATGTGGAAACGAGATTGTTTCACTCAATGGAAACTTGTTGTGTACCTTCAGCGAGCCGGTAATAAAAGACGAACGATCTCCTCGACGAGAAGGCGCCGAGAAAGAGGAAGGGAGAGAATCAGAGGGAGAATTAGAATGAGAGATAAAGAGAACGAGAATAGAAGAAAGAGAGAGAGAGAGAGAGAGAGAAAGAGAGAGAAGGAGCATAGAAGTTCGCAGTGCGAAATCAGGCATAATTAAGCGAATCGTTACAGTACAATCTATAATCGCTCGAGAAAGTTATTACTCTCGTCATCTTTTCCCTTTTCTTTCTTTCCACCCTCCTCGCCCTCCCCCTCCTCCCCGTCGGCGAATATTATTCGATGGCTGTGTTAATGAAAAAACTTCGCCGGCCGACCGGCTCGCGAAGAAAAGCTCGACTTCCAAAGTTTGATTCGAGCAAACGTTTATTGCGCCGGGCCGCCAACTTTCATCATTTTAAATGAAAAAGTTAAATACGCCCGATCAAATCCGGCCGTGTTTATCAGGTAAACGGTCGGACACTCGATGGGAGTGCATTAATTACGGCTCCCGGTCTCTTCGAACGGCGAAATATGTTCGCTCTAGTTAAATCGCGCTTCCCTGTCCCCAACGTAATCGACGAATTAACGGCCTTTCAATTTTCCAGAATCTCGTCGTCGATCATCGCGTTCGCAGCGCCGCGCTCTCTTCGACCGTGGAATTACGAAATGTACATTCTTCCGTGGGAATATTGATCCACGTAATTTGCTTGGAGAACGTCCGAGGATCCTCGATCGTTTCGCGTACACTGTCCCATTTACACTGTTCAGAGAACTCAGCAGAAAATTCAGGTCGCTTCTGCGAGCGAATAACGTGCGACAACAGTTGTTAATCTTTGTCGAATGAAATTTTGTTCGGTTCGGTAAATCAAACGATAAACATACTATTTTTAGGGTTCGCTCTAAGATGCTGTAACTTTGCGAGAAAAAATCGCAGCCGACTTTCGTTTCTTCCAAATTAAAGCGAAAGGATCAAACTTTGTTCGACCTTAAGCGGCATCTTCGAAAAAAATTTCACGGAGTCCGTGCAGTTCGTCAAACATGGTCAAACATTTGGTCATGAGTTTCGACGTGGTAAACGAGGCGTTGCATTTAAATGGTGCACAGCGGCGAGGTTGCATAAAGCTTAAAATCCAAAAATACCGTCTTAAAGTAGAGGTTTCAAGCTTTAATTGAAAAAAATAGTCATTGTCCTACGATGATTTTTCACGGAGTTATCGTCGGTCGAAGTTGGCCAATTTCTATCCGGAATTTGTCGACGCTGTGATTTGTTCAAGCAGCGTATTTCAATGTCTGCTATTTCATATCGCATAATTGCGGCATTTCCAGAGGCTCGCCGGATAACAAGGGGTGAGACGAGACCGTCGACGGTGAAATTCAATCAGCCGGCGCGAACTCAAGGGGTTCCGTGGAAATAAATCGGAATCGGGAAAGGAAAGGACCGAAAGCAATCGCAGCCTCGTTAGCCCCGGCGCCCTGCGAAGTCCCTAATGAACGCAGATTGCCGATCGCAATTAACGCACGTCCGAAATTAGCAACTAACCGAGCTCGGCTCGGCTCGGCTCGGCTCGCCGGGCGAGTTCGCCGGATATCAAGGTTGGCGAATCGCGTTCGCGTTCGCGCGAATTCGAGACTGCGAGAACGCGACGGTTGGTCCCCGAAAACCGGAAGAGAGGGTTACCGCTGCCTCGTTAGCCTAATGATCGCCCCTGACTTCCTTGGCACGGCGCGGAACTTAGCTCGGCGTCGAACACTGCATCGGCGAACGGCAGCATTGATTAACTGGCTACTCTTCGGGCTTTGATTCCCCTCGGCCATAACCGGAAATGAGACGCGGCTGCGGAGCCCGATCCGCGTCCGTCGTCTCGACCCGAAGATTCACGGTCCCGAACTTCCGGATGGATGTTTCATTGCGATTTCATACCTTTGCCAGTTAAGGAATTTGTACGATTATCTGCTGCGAAAGTGTTTCTGCATTGACAACAATATTTTTCGATTTATTGGGATTTATTAGGATTTTTTAGGATTTTAATTAGGATTTAATAGGATTTATTAGGATTTATTGAGATTTATTAGGATTTGTTAGTGTTTATTGAGATTTATTAGGATCTATTAATATTTATTAGGATTTATTAGAATTTATTTGGATTTATTAGGATTTATTAGGATTTATTAGTATTTATTAGGATTTATGAGGATTTAATAGGATTTATGAGGATTTATTAGGATTTATTAGGATTTATTAGTATTTATTAGGATTTATGAGGATTTAATAGGATTTATGAGGATTTATTAGGATTTATTAGGATTTATTAGTATTTATTAGGATTTATGAGGATTTAATAGGATTTATGAGGATTTATTAGGATTTATTAGGATTTATTAGTATTTATTAGGATTTATGAGGATTTAATAGGATTTATGAGGATTTATTAGGATTTATTAGGATTTATTAGTATTTATTAGGATTTATGAGGATTTAATAGGATTTATGAGGATTTATTAGGATTTATTAGGATTTATTAGTATTTATTAGGATTTATGAGGATTTAATAGGATTTATGAGGATTTATTAGGATTTATTAGGATTTATTAGTATTTATTAGGATTTATGAGGATTTAATAGGATTTATGAGGATTTATTAGGATTTATTAGGATTTATTAGTATTTATTAGGATTTATGAGGATTTAATAGGATTTATGAGGATTTATTAGGATTTATTAGGATTTATTAGTATTTATTAGGATTTATGAAGATTTATCAGAATTTATCAGAATTTATCAGAATTAATTAGAATCAATTAGAATTTATGGCTTTTTGTGCTACCATTTTGTGAGCACAGAAACACTGTTTCTGATAAGACTAATTCTACCTTGCAATTTTAGGCCAATTTATAAAATCGTTTTAATAGAATGTTCTTATATTTGATCCTTAAAGAAATGTTCTCCAGTAGAAAGACTGAAGCATCATTTTTAAAATAGCGTCGAAAGTTAACGCATTCCTTGACAATGATTCTAACTATCTCCTAAATTAAATTCAGCACTATTAAGTCTCTCATAAATTTTCTTTCTATATACAATGCTTAACTTTCGTCGAACTGAAAAATTGTATGCTTTCCGAAAAATTGCATTCTCGCGACAGTTCAAACAAATAAGGAATCGAATATATTTCAAATGGAAGACTCACCTCGACGACGTAATGGAGCCCCGAGAGCGTCATTCTTGCCACAGAATCTTTCCTCCTGACCGGTTGTTGCCTTCTTCTCAACGTGACGCCCTGCGGACACCAATTGTCTCAATACGACAAAAAAAAAAGAAACCGAAGAGGAACTTACGCGTCGATAAATAATAAAACAGCTGATAATACGGAGTTTTACTTTACACAAAATTGAACAGTTTGGAAAGAGGAGATTGAATTTTTAATTAAAGAGGAGATCATATTTTTCCTAATTATTATCATTTTTCCTATTTAGCCTTGCGGCTCGTTTTTACAATTACCGATTTTCAGCAACTATAAAAATAATATGTAATATATAAATAATCGCGTTCTCTCTCTTCCCAAATAATAATATATTAATATTAATTAATATATAATATAATGACCTCTCCTCTTACCAAATTATCAACTTTTCAATTTTTCTGCAGTTTGAGCGTAGAATTAGGGAGAATTTACTATACTATTACTTTCTCTTCCCAAATAATAATATATTAATATTAATTAATATATAATATAATGACCTCTCCTCTTACCAAATTATCAACTTTTCAATTTTTCTGCAGTTTGAGCCTAGAATTAGGGAGAATTTACTATACTATTACTTTCTCTTTTTAAATAATAATATATTAACATTAATTAATATATAATATAATAATCTCTCCTCTTCTCCCAAATTATCGATGTTTCAATTTTTCTGCAGTTCGAGCGTAGAATTACGGAGAATTTACTATACTATTACTTTCCCTTCCTAAATAATAATATATTAACACTAATTAATATATAATATAATAATCCCTCCTCTTCTCCCAAATCATCGATTTTTCAATCTTTCTGCAGTTTGAGCGTGGAATTAGGGAGAGTTTGCTATAGTCGGCGCTTCAGAGCGGCGCGAAAAGATCGCGGGTCCATTTAATATCGTGGTAGACGGCGTCCGCGGTGCAATACGACGGCGATTTTCATGAAAAACGAGCCGATCTACGGCAAGAAACAGTACTTTTCTGCGCCGCTGCCGAGGAAAAACGCGGCGCTGAAGTTGCTGAAAACTGTTCCAGAAAAAAGTAAACAAAAGGCGTACTTCCCGCGCGCCATTACAAAACTTCGCGGACCGTGTCGCGTTTCCGTTCTGAACAAGTTTTAATGGGACTCGAGCCAATGGCTCGATGTTTGAGCTGGACCATTGAGCCGCACGCCGAACTGTACGCGCAAACTTGAACTCTTGAATTAACAGGTCCTTTTTTTATCCCCCCTCCCCCTCCCCGACGAGTTACAGCGCGCGTAAAAAAAGATCACCGTATGATAGCGATCGTTTGCTTTTCATTCCCAAGCGGAGCCGATCGATTTTGCTACCGATCGGCTCATTCTTGGCTCTGTGTTCTCGGAAACGGTAACAATAATTCGTAATAATATTGGGTTGGCAACTAAGTAATTGCCGATTTGTTCAATGAAATAAAAAATTTGCTTTTACTTGGAACGAAGTTTAATCTGTAATGTATTTTCCATTTTGTTCGATGACCTTTTGCCGTCTCTCTGACAACTTGAAAATTCCACGCTCGTAGAAAGTCTGATCCTTTTCGGCCAAAAACTGAGTTAAGTGAGATTTCACAGCGTCGTCATCGTTAAAAGTTTTACCACGAAGGGAGTTGTCCAGGGATCGAAATAAGTGGTAATCCGATGGCGCGAGATCAGGGCTATACGGTGGGTGTAACATCGATTCCCAACCAATATCCATCAATTTTTGCCGAGTGGACAAAGACGTGCGCGGCCTAGCATTGTCCTGTTGGAAAATGACACTTTTACGATCGACCAATTCTAGTCGCTTTTCCTTGACCGCTGCATTCAATTTGTCCA